AGAGCACTGGAACAGGCTGCCCAGAGAGGTTGTGGAGTCTCCTCTGGAGATCTTCAAAACCCGCTTGGATGCAGTCCTGTGCCACGTGCTGTAGGTGACCCTGCGTGTGCAGGGGGGTTGGACTAGATGACCTCTAGAGGTCACTTCCAACCTTAAGCCTTCTATGATTCAAAATATGATTAATTACATTTAATTGCGATTGACATGCAACTTTTCACCCTTCCCCCCTGCAGCAGTTCGTATTTGGGTGCAACTCCGTACCCTGTTTCTTTATTCTCCTACTCTTAGTCTTTTGGGCGTAGACTTGTACGAGAGTCTAGCCGGTTATTCTGGGGGATTGCCTTGGTGTCCTATTGGGCTTGAGTCCCTACGTCAACTTTGCTGTTTTCCACAGATGCCCACACAGCAGCTTTTCAATATCTGATGTTTCTGGTATAGTTACCCAGACAGTCTCTGCATCATACGATATTACTGACATGGTTGCTTAGGTACAGGTGGCCTTGCAAGGTTCCATTTTCCCAGAGCTGCCCCCAGCTCCCTTTCAGTTACGTGCCTCACCCTGGTTATTGTTCACCTTGCTGCTTAAGACAAATCAGTCTACTTGAGTCGTGATTCCTGTACATACTGCCAGTGAAGTGCAATACTTTGCTACCATATACACAGAAAATCCATGTGTCAGAGCAACATTTTCATGTTTTTGGGGGGCTCATGCTGCATCCATCTTCCTTCGGTGTTTCAGTACAAATCATTGCCCTTGATATGTTCTTTGGACAATCACGTTTCCTGCGGTTTCCTGCCTGATATACCTGCAGGACCTTTTGCGCACATATCAAGTGGCATCCCCTCTTGAAGTGACCGAGATAGAACTCTCTCACTTTTTTTTTTCCAAGATATTTTTTTCCGGCTATATATCTTAAGCTTTTTTATTATGGAAAGGTTCTCTTAAATATCTCTGCATGTTCTGTCTCTGAACTCATTTTACAGTAGGCCCTGTGTTCTAACCTAAGATATGATATGCTCTGTCACTGGTTGACCCAAGTCAATATTTTACAGAACTCCTTTTAATCTTGAAGTTATTTTTCTCTTCTTTTAGTGATATGCAGATGCTTTTCAGAATGTAGTCAGAAGAATGTTCCTAGTCCTCAAAAAAAAAAAAAAATGGATGTGTTGAGTTTTGACTGTATTTTCATTATTTTTGTGAAAAGCACACATCTGACATAAAACAAGTAGTATATTTATTTGCTCAGAAAGTATTCTGCTTGGAAATACATAATTATGGTTTCATTTTAAATTATATTTAATGAGAATTGCAGAGAATACAAGTGCTGCGTAGTGCAGTGATGGTCTGATGCGATGCCCATTTTGTATGTGCTTTGGAGCATGATTAACACTTTCAGTAAAATGTACCAGTGCCATCTGTAAATTTTCTTTAGCTGCTGAACAAAAATAATTATCTTGGGAAAAGGAATCTAACTTTGGTAAAAGCTGTAATGAAGAAACATCAGAAGGAAAATCTGCAAAACTATTGAAGTGATTTTCATGTCATCAGGAATAGTTTGAATAAATATCTGAGAAATATATATACATTTACTTTTTTAGTAAGAGGAGGTATTTTGGGGGATGTAGATTCAAGTAGTTTTCCCATTAGTAAGGACTGTCACAAAGAAAGTTCAGCGCTGTTCTGACTAGAGGTATAATGTTAGAACTTGTCAATTGGGTTGTGTGTTTTTAAAAAAAAAAAAAAAAAGTCACACACCAAAGAAAAGGTCCAAAAATACAACCATGACCCTGTGCAAGACTTCAAAAAGTAAATAAAGCAAATCTGCTCCAGCAGGGTATATAGTAAATATAAAGTACTCTGTTCTGTAGCAAAACATATTATATAAAAATATGCATCAGGCTTCATGTGATGACAGTATTCCAAATCTTAAATAATCATGTGGTTATTTTCTAACCAAACTCTTGAGTGGCAGATGAATTTACCTGGTAAGTTATTTTAAGAAATTAAAACAATCAAGATCACAGGAACTTAGTTGCTATGGCCTAGTTGTCATGAGACAAAGGCATAACCTGTATAATACCTTTTCTGAAAATGATAGAACTCTTGGTCACCAGAAAGTTGGTGGTTAGTAGGTTAGATTTTCTTGTATTAAAACGTAAGTTGAACAAACGTAGTTGGAGTTGCATGAGGTCTTTTAGACTACTTGCAATGGGAAATAATTTGTGTGCTCTCTTCCAGGTTGCTTCCCTGAAGAAGAATGTGGGTCAGTTCAGTGGATTTCCATTTGAAAAAGGAAGTGACCAATATAAAAAGAAGGAAGAAATGTTAAAAAAGTAATGGTCTCTACTACTTAATATATTTTGATTTGTGTTATATGCAGTTATTTTCAAAAATTTTCTTCAGTCAAATTTAAACTTCTGGCTAAATGACTGTTTCCTAGATCTTTATGATTTATTCCAGAGCTCAGATTAATCACATAATAAATTTCAAATCATCTTAAAAATACATTTAAAAATGATTATTCTTAATAATTTCTTCACAAGTCCTACAAATTTCTAGGTGTTGGCCTCTGCTGCCTTCCCATCTATTCTCATTATTGCATGAGATTAGCAGATTCTTCTGCTAAGTGAGAGACAATGCTATCCTCTTCGGCAAACATAACTCTGTGAATGCATTGCTGTAAGTTCTTGGTGCATTGACTTCATCCTTCTATGCTTTAAAAACTTCCTCTATCAGAATCAAAATGAAGTTTTTTTTTTAAAAAAATTAAATATATGATCTTAGTTCTGGAATTGCTTTCAAGTAGATATATTCAACTACAGGAACTAGTGTAACATATATTTATCTGTATTTCTTCACCAAATAAGCAGCTAATTAAATTTGTTACATTTTGATCTTCAGGAAAACTTCTACATTTTGGAAACTCTTTACAGTGTCACTCTTTTTGATCAAGTTGCTGAATCCTCTTGTTACTCTAAGCTTTGCTGCTGTTTATAGTTACATATGAAATACTGCTGCTTGGTTGATTAATAGTTTTTGACTATGTGGTTGAATCCTGATTTAAAATCTGGTTGGTATTGCAGCGCTGGATACTTGAGTTTCTCTATTAACCCTCTATTTTTAGCTGTCTTGCATAAAGGGGGAAGCAGCCAGAGAAAATAAAGTGAGATCTCCCTCCCCTTCCAGTCCCTCTGTATAAGTTCAAGTCTTGTGTGCACTGAATCTGTTGTCCAATATTGATTCTTTCCAATGTGATAACTGAAAAGAGGCGAGAGACTTTGGAGAAGATTCTTAGAAGACTTTTGTCTAGCATGGTGATGTTTCTGTGCTTAAATATATATAACTGGAAATGTTTTTAAGTGTGTCAGTATGCACAACTATTGTCAGGATTCAGAAGCAACTGAGCATTGGCAACTTTCACAGGTTGTTTATTTGCGATGATTTTTTTCTTCTGTTTTCCTCCAGGTTTAGGAATGCAATGTTAAAAAGTATCTGTGAAGTTCTTGATTTGGAGAGATCAGGAGTTAACAAGCAACTGGTAACCAGAATCCTAAACTTTTTAATGCACCCAAAGTCTTCAGGCAAGGTGAGATGCAAATTGTGGGCATAGTTATATCTCTATTCTGGTGGGAAATGTGGTTGTCCGTATTTCTTATTACTGTTTTCTTTACCAATGATGACATAGTTACTCTTTTAATGTAGCAAATTAGTAGCAACCTCTTGAAAGAGTAATAGTCATTGTTAATGGGACCTGCCGTATATGAGGATGAGGACTTTGATATAAACTGTATGTTTACATGTAAGAACATACATAGTATGCTGTTGGTACGCAAAAATATAGGTGGTCAGTACATGAAACTTAGATACACGTATGTTCTGCCATTTACCCTTTTCTGGGTAAATAGAACAGCCACGCTATGTAAGGAGGAAAGAAACAAGGCATTAGAGCAATGAATAAATCATCAAAGTACAGGCAAAAAACTTCCATGTATATATGGGCGTGCTATAATTTAGCAAACGTGATTGCATATGATCATCACAGAATAGGATTTGTTACAAGGCTGAAAAAATTTGCTTTGTCTTTAGTGTATGCTAGTGGAGTGAATCCAGATGCACGGATTATGTAACTCTATTAATATTCCTCTGGGACTATCAACTTTTTAGTCTCAAAACAGTACTTAAATAGTCAAATTGCTGTTCAGCAGCTTAAATTTATTTGCAGGGAATTTTCCTCAGTAATAGAAACAAAAGGTCTGCCTGCTGTGTTCAAGACACTGGTAATGAGCAATAATAAAATGCAGGTTTGCATAATACATAGCAGAATTCCTGCCTGTAAATCTTCTGAAGACTTGTCAGCCCTTTTGTTGGCAGAATGGAAAACTTGCTTTCATGGGTTGAGGAGAGAGAGATGTAGCTCTTTCTGGATGGTTTCTTTCTTGCCTCCTTATCCTAATCCGCCAACCTTGGAAGATCTGGTAGGTTATGAGCTATGGGTAGAGAGGTGCTTAGCTTAGAACTGAACATAAATTTCATTTTAGTCTCTTCCCTGTCTGTCCTGAGAATTTCTGCTTACCACAACATATTGTGGCCTAAATATAGTAGATACAATTACTATGAATTTTGTCGTGAAGACCTGGAGGGTTCCTTCTTTATTTCATGTGATTTGGCTTATGCTTTTTAAATTCACTTTTCTATTCATACTTCAAAACCCATGTTTCTGTTCTTCAGCCGTTGCCAAAGTCCAAAAAAACCCCGAGCAAAGGTGGCAAAAAAGAACGTAGTAGCACTGGAACAACAAGAAAAGCAAAACGCAGGAAATATCCAGAAATCTTGTCAGATGAATCTAGCAGTGAGGAAGATGAGAAGAAGGAAAAGGATGACTCTTCAGAAGAAAAGGAAAGCGAAGAGGAAGTAAGAGTTTTGTTTGTTCGTTTTCAACATGTGGCTAAAAGATTTTTTTCTATAGTTAGCAAGTATATGGTAGTTATTGGTAATCTTTGAATTTTTTTGTGGGACAAATTTTGTATTTAACAGAGAGAAAAGTTGGAAAGAGAGGACATCTTCAATTTTTAAAAGATTACCTTAGGCTCTCAAAGGTAATCCATTGCATTTTTATCATTTTGTGATAGTTTTATTTATATGATCTTCTTGAAATTCTTTTCTTGTTGTGGTTTGAATAGGTCCCTAGAGCTTAACTTTGAATTCAGTGACCTACCTAGCCATGTTATTCTGGCATCTTGATGATTGATCTTGATGATTTCTTCTGGAGTTTGTTTTAAACCCTCTCTTAGGTTTCTGTGTCTGCAAAACCAAACTATACAGTAAGGGGCCATACCAAGATCCCTTCAAAACTCCCAAAATTTCTCCCTATAGTGTATTTTTTGTTTTTCTGTATTCTCTTTGAATTTTTTTTTCAATCTTCTTTAATAAGATTAAAGATTAGATTGTTTAAGTTCAAATCAGCATTGTAATCCTCCATTTTTCTTTACAGCCTCCTAGGAAAGCATCTAAAAGAGAAAAATCTAAAAAGATGCCTTCTAAAACCAAGAAACCTGTGAAGGGTGCTAATGTCAAGAAAGCAGATAGCAGCACTACTAAAAAGAGTCAGAACAGTTCTAGAAAAGGTAAGTGCTTTAGCATTTTTACTCCCCTTATGTGGTAGCTTATCCTGGATGCTTGCTAGAAAGCAAACTTTTGCACTTAGCTGTGAAGTAAGACACGATTTGGTGAATTGCTGGTTTGATGCTTGGGTTTTCTTTTCTTGTAACAGTGAAAAAATAACATAAAGATTACACAAACCAAAAAGAAACAAGTGTTTGCCCTGTGTGTGTGTGTGGGCACACAGTCACTCTTTGAATATATTGCGTGACCGTATGCATGTGTGTGTTAGCCTGGTACTACCTGCTGCTAGAAGAGTGCTAGTAAATCTGTGGTGGTACCTCCCTAGTGACTTTGCATTAACCTTGCTGTTAATCTGACACGTGTATCGCATGGGCAGCGCTGTGTCCAGCACTGCAGTCCCCAGCGCGTGGCAGACGTGGACACGTGGGCACAAATCCAGCGGAGGGGCCACCGGGATGGTGAGGGGCTGAGTGCCAGGTCTGTGCTGCCTCAGGAAGAGGCGGCGGCAAGAAGCTCTTGCTGCTGCCTGCAGCTGCTGAAGGGCAGGCAGATAGGCTCGTTTTAGAGGTGCGCAGCTTTAGGTAGGATGGGAGACCACAGACACAAATGACTGCACAGAAAACTTCATCTTTGTGTTGAGCAAAAAGAAAGGGTGTGCTGTGCAGGTGGATGTGCCAGAAGAGGGACCTCGTGCATCCCACTCCCCTTGGGACATTCAGACCTTGACTTTGAGCCACCGGCTTTCTATTAGGTGTCTTTTGAGCAGGGGCTTGGGCCATGTTATCTTCAAAAGTCTCTTCCAACCTAAATTCTCTGCTGGTGTGGGAGAACAGACATGTCCCAGTCACAGCTGTGGTAGGACTTACTCATACCACATTATCTGCTGCATATTGTAATTCACACATTGTCAGCAGCAGTGTGTATGCACCATAGCAGTGTCACCCATTCAGAGTGTGAACGAAAAGAGCAGCTGAACTCTGAGGCCCAGAACTGCAGAGCTGCTGTCCTCTCCTTACTTTAAGCAGAGTAAACCAGTCTCTGATAACTTGGGGTATCTTCACATGGCCACTGGCAGTACTGATGGGGGTGACTTTACGTGTGCCTTGTTTTTTTTGTCATCACAACACAGATTTAGAATTGAGTGTCTCTTTGCTGCCCTGCCTCTCACTTAACTCTTCTATGATTCTCTTCATTTGTTGTCAAAATGACTCTGGTGGCGTGTACTGTTGTACGGCATCATGAAATTACAAGACCCAAATGGGCAGCAGCAGCACTGCTGGGGAAAAATATAGCCCAGCTCCCTTTTTAAAAGCACAAACATGCATCTTAGGGCACTGGTGCCTCAATTTAGAGTTGATCTAAGATTTTATTTTTCTTTTTTTCTTTTTAGCCTGATAGAATTTGTGTGTTTCATACTTTCTAAACTACGTGTTGATTTCTAAACTGATAAATGGTCAGCAACTGTGCAGATTTGTAAATAAAAGCATTAGATTTCTTCAAATTTTTGCTCTGTCAAGAGACCCATTTTAAGAGGGAATGTCTGAATCTGATATTTGGCGCAAATTCTGTTGGCTTCTGTTGTGGAGGAAGAAAACAGCAAAATTAAAACCTTTTATTGCAATTCAAATTATGTAGAGACCGAGTCTGAGGACAGTTCAGATGATGAACCCTTAATTAAAAAGTTGAAGAAACCACCTACAGATGAAGAGCTTAAGGAAACTATCAAGAAGTTGTTGGCCAATGCAAACTTGGAGGAGGTTACAATGAAACAGATTTGCAAGGAGGTAAGCAAGCATGATTTGGTAGTATCTCTTTTTTAGGCCGCTGGTTGTTTATGAACTGACTTTTGTCATTTTCTTTCGTAAATCGCGATTTACATTCTGTGCAATATTCAGAAAATAAGTGGTTTTGCACTGATTTATTTGCTTGCCAACAGTGATAAGGAGGAGAGCTGTAATCTTAAAGTATAGCGCGCTGAATCTGCTCAACGCTAGAAAGGGAGTCTCCAAGGAAAATGTGGAAAGTGGCGGTATTGCCTCCAAAGCAGCCACCATGTGTGAAGTGACAGTATTTGAGACATGGAGCTGGTGCAGGACCTGGCTGCCACCAAAAGGGGGGGTCTGTGTCCTGCTCTCTGCACATTTTTGCTGCTCACCTTGCTGTCATCCTTACAGCCTCTTTGCAAGACTTTTCAACTCTCCTCCGCTAGCAAAAACTGCATAGTTCTCAGTTGAGCTAAGGAGCTGAATCAGTTCAGCAAAAAATCTATTGAGTGCCAGGACAAGTCCAGAAAGAGTCAGAACCACGTGGCCGGAAAAAGCGGGGCTGAGTGATACTGTTACCTTGATACTTTCTGCAGCCAGTTAACTCATGTTTATTTTCCTGGTCTTTCTAATAAATTGTCTTGAGAAAATAAACCTGGATGTTATTTTTTTGAGGAAACTATGTCTTTATAATCCATATAACTTCTGTGTCATGTTCACAGTCCTCCTTGGAAACCTGAAATTTGGCATACTGAAGTAAACTTTTTTTTTTATGTTGGCTGTCATTGTAGGCATCTGGTTTCATTTTCCCCAATTATCCAAGTGTAGTTGGAGAATAGCACTCAAATATATTGACTTTCACATTACTGACCTGGAGAACCACAGTTTTACTCACTATAAAAAAGTACCTAGGCTCTGGAGCTCACTATTTGTCTAGCTCCCCCCACCAATGCAGGTAATATCCAACTCCTTAGAAGGCATTTAAAGCAAAACTGAAAAAATAATATTTGGCTGACATGACAGGCTAACCTTTTTTTTTTTTTTTTGCGGGGGGGGAAAAAGGTATAGTTCCAGTCTAATATGTGACCAAGCAAAGAAAATCTGTGTGTTTCAATAAGTGCATATTTCAAATAAGAACATGGAAATGTTTGTCGCTTCCCATAATTAGCATGGGCTGGTTTACATGACAATGCTAGAAGCACCACAACACTTCTTGCCAGAGTTTCATTTAAGCTTCTTCTATTCATGCAATAGACTGAATGGAAGTAACTTGAGGTTATATCTTTTATTCTTGTTTTTTAGGTCTATGAAACCTATCCTAGTTATGATTTATCTGACAGGAAAGGCTTCATTAAAGAAACAGTCAAAGAGGTAAAGACTTTATTTAGAATATTTCCTGTATTTTTCTTAACCTGGCATATTGTTATACTTATTTTTTAAAAGCCTCCTTTGTAGTACCTGTTATAACCTAAACTTTAGTTTTTGGATAAATTTGAATTCTCGCTCTGGATTTAAACAAATGGCCCAGATTTTTTTTCTTTTTACTTAGCATGTATGTGGCAACTGAGTTTCTTTGCTAAGCGGGACTAGAAAGCTATTGTAGTTGCTAATGAATTTAATATTTTTACGTCTGAAAGCGATGCCTTTTCTAATTGCAGCCTTGGTTGCAAGTCGCCCTGAAATCCATGCACTGAGCACATGTAAATGTAGGTTCCAGCGCAGGGGTTGTGTGAGCTCTGCAGAGCTGCAGCCTCTAGCATGGGAGAAGGCCTGAGCGGGCTAGAGCCATAGAGAGGCTTTTCTCCCTGTGGCCTCCTGTTCTCGTACTCCTGATCCCACGGTCTTCATGTTGCTTTTGAGTTTGCTGCACTGTACATTAAGCCTGGCATGATGCATCCCTGACAAAGCAGGTGTTGTGCAGGCTGTCGTTTGTACCTTGCAAGAAGAATTTCAAGTAGGATTATTTTTGTTTGCCCCAAAACTCTAGAAAGGGAACTGAGAAACTGAAACTCCTTTAGAAAAGTTAATAAGCTTTTCTTTCTTACTTGTAGTATCATTGCACATGTTGAAATGGTGCATGGCTCTCTGTCTTTTTATAATATATCCATCTGTCACTATCAGCAAAGGAGTAAGCCTGGCTGCTGCAGGGATGTTGTGTTGTGGTAGCAGAAGTAACAGGTGTCATCTTCATAGTTGTTCTTGATAGCCTGATGCTCCAGGAGAGGCCTCAAGTAATTGAACTTAAGAAGGGAGAAAACTAACACAATTCTCATTTCAGTTGATTTCATGATCTGATTTGACCTTGGGAAATGAAGATTCCTGATCTTACGTTCCCATGGATTTGAAGATCTAATAGGCACCAGCAAAAGGAATGTTTCTTACCCTTGTGGTGTTTAGTTGGAACTGATTCTGCTGATATGTCAAAGGTGTTGATGTAAATTGCTTTGTGTATCTTTTTTTTTTTAAAAAAAAAAAAACACACACACACACAAAACCTGCATTTGATGCAGTTCTTATTTGAACATACTCAAGTTTTGTGCATGGCAATAAATGTTCCCTTTTTTATAGTTTTTGTACATTTTGGATTGCTTTGTATAACCAGCTTCAGTAGACCCATCACAGCTTTTTAGTGTGCGTTACTAGCTTGCAGAGGAGATTTTAAAATCAGCTAGGATGAAAACTGCTTATCTGCACATATACATGCAGAGACTGGAATATTGCAGTATTGAGTGTAAAACATATTTTCAATACATATCCATTCTGAAAAGGAAAAGAGTTAGTCCCATCTTAATGTCTTTTATATTCTGATATGTTCTACAGATGCAGAATTATTCTGAATCTAGATAACTGTCTTGCATGGGTAGGCGCTGTGAAAACTGTCGAAGCATGGTAGCTAACTTGCATATAGATGTTATTTTTGTACTTTTAAAAGGCTTTCTGTTGTGTATATAAAATTATTTCAGATTTCTTTTGTCCAAATCAGTTTTTAATCTTGTTATCTTAGAAGATTTATGACATGAAATGTCAGTGCTCAATAGTGAGGCTGTGAAGAAAAGTGGGATGCAGACATTTCATGAAGACTGTACAAAGAACTGAAATTTTACTACTTTTGTCCCGTCTTACCTTGTACAGAATCTAAACTGTAGTTTTTATACCTAAGCTTTTCAGTGTTGAACTTTGTACAAAAGACTACAGCTGTATTTGTTTCAATGGCTTGATCTAGGAAATATAACTCCTCTAGGGGCTGTAAGAAAAAATGCAAATTTCACTTTGAAAACTCTTACATTTCAGTGTCTTGACCTAGTATCCAAAACTCTCCAAGTGGTTGGCCAAGCTGTATCCCTGGGAAGCTCAGTAGCTGTGGAAACCTCCACAGGGGCCTCCAACTCAGTCTGCACTGAAATGTGTGGTTGATGTGGCTGTACGCTGTGCAGGAAGCTCTTCTGCTCAGCACAGGCAGTGGTACCTAGGCCTGCAGGCTTGAACTCTGGGCCACAGCTTTTTGGTTCAAAGTGAACACTTTGTATGAAACTCTGCTTTCCGATAGGTTTCTGTTCTCCATACACCTGGTTGCTAATATGGGATGTCCTGCATTTGCAATTATGAACTGCTAACAGCAAATGCTGAAGTGTGGGCTGCTATTGATTCCAGGAACAATGAATCCCTCTGACTAGTATTGCTAGGGAGACAAAGCATATTTTTAAAAATTTTATTATTATACATTGGAGCAATCAGAGTTCATAAGTGATTTAAATTCTGAAAATGTTCAGCCAGTCAGATTATTAATCTTCACATACTTCTCTACTTTCTTCGAGTGTAATCATTTATAATAAGACTGGATGTAAGGAGTTTCTTTTTTTTTTTTTTTGTATTCAATAAATGTCTTTCACGAAACAATGCAAATCAATTTTGGTGATTTATCACTTGCTTACATGTAGAGTAGATAATTATTCAGAAACAAGGATGTTGGCTTTATCTCAGCTGGAAGAAGCTCTTCAAGTCTCATTCATCACCTCTCTCTACTTTTGAGGCATTTGTGCTTAAATGCATGTTTTGTCTTTTCTGGGTCTTTTTCTATTTTTTTCTTTCCTCTAATCCTAAAGTAGTTCAGAGGTAGGGGGAAGAAAATCTTTTTTTAAGTTGCATTTTACAACATAAAAAACTTCCCCGTCTTCCTCAAAAGCAGGAATTATGCTGTTTGCATCAAGCCTTGTTGTATTTTCAGCTGGATCTTTTACACATAATGTGACTGCTTTAGATTTTTATGCAAGTTTACCATTCAGTTTTATTTAGGTAGATGAGGATCTGCTTTTAAGATTAGTGATTTTCACGCAAACAGTTGTTGTAGAAAAAAATCTAATGAAAACTGGGATTTCCCTCCTGCCCCTAGAGGAAGGGTTTTGCTAGTGGGGAGCTGCAAGTGTTGCTGGTTTGAAACAAATTTTGGAAAAGGGAAGGTTCTTATTTGTTTGTTTTGTTTTTCAAGTTGCATGCAGTCACGTATGCACTAAACGAACGTGTAATTGCCTTTGGGCAAGAACAAGGTAGGCAACAGTAGTATCTGTATGGCATTAAACAATTACAGGTTTTAAGGCAACTTCAGTATTTTAAAGATTTTGGGTACACAGTGAGGTTGTACAGGTGTGCTCACAGAAGGAACATTTCAGGACCATGCCCTTAAAGCAGGGTCACGGTAGAGGTAGTGAATGAAAGGCATTACGTGTTTCTCTAGTGATTACCCAGCTCTTTAGATAACAGAGTCTTCATTTTACTTGACAGTCTAGCCTGATACAATCTTAAACTGCTTTGCAAACATTTGAGCCAGAAGAGTCTGTTTCTGGGTGAGGGTAATGGCCAAGTAAGAAAAAGGTTGAGATCTGCAGCACAGAGGGGGCTCAAGAACAGCACTAGTAAGGAAGAGCCTTAATATACAGGTAACATGACAGCTTGAGGCATTTAACAAAGGTATACACTTATTAATTAAATTTCAATAGTAGTAATAATAATACTCCCATGAGCATCCCATGGATACTTTCCAGTTTTATTCTGCTGCTGGAGCATAGTCACACAGAAGAGTTGAAGGGAAACAGATCATGCTCTGCACTCAAACATTTCTGGTAACATTTAAACAAACCTACTCACATTCCCCAGTTCTTTATTTTAAGGGAATAAGTTATACACAAAAGTAAAAACACATACATGCTTGAAATAAAATTTGACATACGTATTTAAAAAAATTGGAAACATTAATTAAGAATGAAGTCTCAGAACCAGCCTGATGTTCTTATACATTTTAAATCATTGTAAATTAAAATGGAACATAGTTGTTTTCTTTACTCTCCCAAGTTAAGTGCAGCACAATGCAGTTTAAGTGCCTTAGCACCAAAATAATATACAAATATTTAATAGACTAGACCATTGGTAAAATTATTACTTATTCTTTTTTAGTGCTAGAAGTAAGCAGCAGCTAAAGCCAAATATGACAGAATATTTCTTCATGTTTATCTCTTCCTTAGAATATAGCATTTACATTTGTCTATGAGATACCACATAGATAAGTCCAAAGTACAAATTAACAGCACAGGAGCATATGCCTGAAATTAAGTATGTGCATACAAATGTTGAATTGCTGAAATGGAAGCCAAGCTTGACTTTCCAGACAGAACTTACTTAAAATTTTGTGTCTATATGCTATGAAACTGACTACAGTTCTGACCCATGGCAGCTGAAGCAGCCATTAAATAAATTAACATTTTGGACTTGTAAAAATAAGCTTTTTACCACTTTCACAAGCTGCACTCTTACAAACTTTGTCCCCTGCGGTAAGCTTGGAGAGAAACATGGAAACAAACACGTGTAGCTCCCATAATCTTTCCTACTTATAATATAAATTCACCTGTAATATGTGAAGTTATCAAAGTGCAAATGATTACCAAAAGCAAAATCTGGAGTCTGATTATCTTTTATCACCAGAGGATTTATAACTTTAAATTACACTTTAACACTTGAAAATGTTTTAAAACTGTACATATTAACATTTATGTAGAGAAAAATTATGAACAGTTACACTTTTCCAATTAACCCATATAATTCAGCTTTAAGAAGCAGAACAGAATATATATCTGAAAAACATCTAGTTATATAAACATCTTCACCTTGTAAATTAGAGGTTAAATAAAGATATTTAACAAATATCATAGCTACTCTAAAAACAAATTATTAAGTATTTTTTAAAAGTAGAAGAAATGCTTTTATTCAGTAGGATCTCTTAAGGTTGCTTTTTTTTTCTTCCCCCTAAAGATACAGCTGCATGGAAATAAGCACTGTAATGCAAAAGACGCTTGCTGTGGCCATGTTGTAGGAGCAGACTTAGAAAAAGAAAGAGCCGATGCACAGGAATGAGGGGAGAAAGAGTAAGTGCTCACTGCCCTTCCAGGAAATGTGAGGGCTACGCAGAGAAGGTGGGGAGGAATATAAGTAAAAGTTGGGTTTAATTATGTTTTTTTCTGTTAATAACCTTTTTATTATTATTATTATTAATGAAACAGTATTAGAACCAGCATTGTGGTTGTGCCTGTTATATTTCTGTTGACCAAAACATACTTCCCCTGTGCCACGGAATAGTTATCTGAGAGGTACTTAGCCCTTACTGAATGACTCCCTCAAGGCATTTTTAATACTATTAAAAAAAAAAAAAATCAAAGTGCAAATTACCTTGTTTCAGCCCTTCATAAAGTGTTAATATTCTTCCTCACTTGTCTTCACCTTTTTTTTTCCAATATGAAAGCTGAATGAGCCATTAAGAACTTAAAGTTCTTTGTCCCTCACTATGCCCTCATAATTTTATCAGTAGATAGTTCATCTACTCAGCCCAAACTAATTGTGGAAGTTGACTTTCAAATAAAGTTATAGAAACAATATTTTCAAGCTGTCCTACATGATCAGAAGCACTTCATAGAATCATAGAATGTTTAAGGGTGGAAGGGATCTCTAGTGGTCATCTAGTCCAACCCCCTGTACACGCAGGGTCACCTAGAGCAGGTGGCACAGGACTGCATCCAAGCAGGTTTTGAAGATCTCCAGAAAAGGAGACTCCACAACCTCTCTGGGCAGCCTGTTCCAGTGCTCTGTCACCCTCACTGTTAAGGAAAAATTTCTTAAGTTACTGGGGAACTTTTGATGCTTTTGTTTCTGGCCATTTCCTCTAGTTCTGTTGGTGGCCACCACTGAAAAGAGGCCAGCACCATCCTCCTCACTCCCTCCCTTGAGGTTCTTACAGACACTGATCAGGTCCCCTCTCAGCCTTCTCTTCTCCAGTCACCAGGGCTGAGTAGAGGGGCAGGATCACCTCCCTCGACCTGCTGGAGATGCTCTTCTTAATGCAGCCCAGGATTCCATTGGCCTTCTTGGCCACGAGGGCACACTGCTGCCTCATGGTCAACTTATCATCCACCATGACACGCAGGTCTTTCTCTGCAGAGCTGCTCTCCAGAAGGTCGGTCCCCAGCCTGTACTGGTGTCTGGGGTTATTCCTCCCCAGGTGCAGGACCTTGCACTTGGCCTTGTTGAATTGCATGAGGTTTTTCGCTGCCCAGTTGTCCAGTCTGTCCAGGTCCCTCTGGATGGCAGTGCAGCCCTCTGGGGTATCAGCTACTCCTCCCAGTTTCGTGTCATCAGCAAACTTGCTGAGGGAGCACTCTGTGCCTTCATCCAGGTCATTGATGAATAAATTGAACAGGACTGGACCAAGGACTGACCCCTGGGGGACCCCACTAGCCACAGGCCTCCAACTAGACTCTGCACCGCTGATCACCACTCTCTGGGCCCTGCCATCCAGTCAGTTCCTAATCCATCTCACTGTCCACTCATCTATCCCACAGTTCCGGAGCTTGCCCGGGAGGATGTTGTGAGGGACGGTGTCAAAAGCCTTGGTGAAGTCGAGATAGACGACATCCACCGCTCTCCCCTCGTCTATCCAGCCGGTCATTTCATCATAGAAGGCTATCAGGTTAGTCAGGCAAGATTTCCCCTTGGTGAATCCATGCTGACTACTCTTGAGCACCTTCTTGTCCTCCATGTGCCTGGAGACAACGGCCAGTATGAGCCGTTCCATCACTTTTCCAGGGACGGAGGTGAGGCTCACTGGCCTGTAGTTGCCTGGGTCCTCCTTCTTGCCTTTTTTGAAGGCTGGTGTGACATTGGCCTTCTTCCAGTCCTCTGGCACCTCCCCCGCTCTCCAGGATCTTTCAAAGATGATGGAGAGTGGCTTAGCTATGGCATCTGCCAGCTCACACAGCACTCTGGGGTGCATCCCATCAGGGCCCATGGATTTGTGGGTACTGAGGTTCCTTAGGGGCTCTCTGACCCAATCTTCCTCTACCCAGGGCAAGTCTTCCTCTCCCCCGGCTTCTTCTCTTGTTCCTAGGGCCTGGGGCTCTAAAGGGCTGCCCTTGGTAAACACTGAAGCCAAGAAGGCATTCAGCAACTCTGCTTTTTCTGTGTTTTTCGTAACCACTTTGGCAAATTTAAACTACCCTATTATTTGTAACGAGGAAATCTCTGAATAAGTAGCAGAGAGTATTGCAGTGAAGCTTTTTCGGTAGTATAAAAGTTCAAGTTTTCCTTTCAAATTTTTATTAACTCCAGTAACCCTTCTATGATTGCACCATAAACTGTTCTAGCAGTCTCACTTAAAGGAACAAACTTGATATTCCAAAGCCCCACTTGTGGAGAATAAGCATAGGAAATATTATAGAAGAGGTTACTGATTGCAAGTTGAAAGAGTGATAGTTGTGTTCCTTCTTGCAGTAATTCTTGAAGCTGGGTAGGTTGTTCAGGCTTTTGGGAACAAGTTTGAACTCCTATGAACATAATCAACCTGAGAAGCACAGTTAGTGGAAAAGACCCATCATTGTTACTAACTGCCAGCATTTTTTAAAATGCTGTACATTAATAATTGTTTTAATACGACCTTCTGAAATGAAGGTCTATAATAGTATGACTTAAGCCATACAGAAAAGGACTCTCAACAAAAGTTCAATTAGTAAAGCTGCATACAGTAAATTTGCCAGAGACTCCAATGTTGCACGCAAGAGTAATACCTTAAATGGGGGGAGGGTGGGAAGGCAAAGAGAAGGGACAGAAAACAAAACAAAAATACAGCCACACTGATCATCAGGGCTTAAAAAGGAAAAACAAAACAACAAAGCAAAAACAAAAAGGAAGAGGAAGATTTTATCTTCAGGTACCATATACTGTTTAAGTACCACTTAGGAAAAAGTAGAAAATAGGAAACTTGATAATTTTGCTCACAGAAATCAAAAATATATCTATAAACACAAAATGTCAATACTTAGAACGCTGCTATTTTGCTCGCTTCTCGAACCCCACTCAAGTAAGCTCCCGTAACGGTCTGAGGAAAGTGTCTATTTGTGGCCTGTATTAAAGAAAAAGAAAAAAAAAAAGAAAAGAAATGCATCTAAAACAGAACAGATAGAGTTTTAGTTCATATGTTCTTTTAGTTATATTTTCCTAAAGCATATATCCATGACTAAATGTTGTTAAAAGCTATGGAAGGTTCTTACTAGAAAGAAACTGAAGCAAATATTGTGGAATTTAAGAGGAAAGCTTCTGATTTTTGGCAACTTCAGAATTTGCAAGCAAGTCAAGTAGCAAAAAGAGTCAACTGTTTTGCTACCTGCACCTTAAGTGAGGCATGTAGTATGTTTCAATGTAGGAGACACGTACTCTCAGCAGAATATATATCTGCTATAGCTATGTTATCCACAAATGAAAAGGCAGGAAATTAATCTGACTGAAAATATAAGCAGATTGTGTGGTCTTGTCATATTCTCTACCACATGAGTATATAAGCCACTCAGGACCTATTTGGTAGACTTTCCATTCCCAGCACTAATATGTGTGAGGTTGCCTGTTCAAAAATCACAAAATATGAGCATATTTATATAACAGTATTTACATGCTACCTAGTATGCTAGTACTGTTTACAAAAATCATTTTTCCTAAGATATAACTTCCCAAAAAACCTTAGTGAAAAATAACTAAGGACCTTACCTCACCAGCAAAGAAAATTGTGCCTTGTATATCTTCAGCTATAATGTCATAAGCCTCACCGCTGCCTCCCGTTTTGACAAAACTGTATGCCATTTGGAGCCAGGGGTCTTGGCTCCATCGAGTAACAAAGAACTTCACTGGATCAGGAACTTCCTGCATAAACACAATAAAATCTGAGCAGTTCAGTATGGTTTGAAAATTAGTCCTGGGGAGGATACAGAAAAAGTCAGTGTCTATAGCTCTAAGCCATGACAATAATATTTTTTATTCTCTGACATGTTTTAGTATAAAAATCCCACCCAATTTGACGAGAAAGAGCCAGGATCACAACTGTGTGAAGGCTTCGTCAACTACAGCTTTGTTTTACTCTTGAAGGGCTTGGGACTGTCTCTTATACAAGATCTGTTATCAACAAATAGGCAGATACTTGCGGTCAGGTAGCCCAAGAGACTCAAGCTCAATCCATAAAGTGGAGTGCAAATGACATTGCTAAGTGATAGTCTTCAGCTTGCCCCAGATTTAATTAGCTTTTATATTAATTGTTCTCCTGATGGTGAGCTGGGAGGACAGAGAATTGGGAGAGAAGTGAAGGGATTTTTTCCCAGTGTTCTCTTATGGCCAGGATGGTAGGGCCACGGACAGGTGGTTGGGCCCCTGCCCCAAGGGAGCTCAAGCAGCTCTACTTTGAGGTACAGGGCTGAGTTTTAGTTTTCTTTTACCAGAATTTTTAGGTACTTTTTACGTTGGTCATAAAAATAAATTTCATGTAGCTTAAAACCTTCATAATAGATTAGAAGCAGAGGTAAATAAAAAGGAAAAAAGAAAAAAAAAATCATAGCCAAGCAAATAGTATATTTGTATTACCTTCCAAAAACTCCGATTTAATTGCTTTCTGAAAGTGCTTAAAATAAAACATGAGCAAATAGTTTTCTCTTACCTGCTCCTTAAAGAGCTCTCGAAGCACAGTCATGCACTGCTGCAAGACTTGTTTGTCATCCAAATTCTTAATGGTTGTCACAGCATCCCCAGTGACCACTGACATTAAAATGCTTTGTTTGCTCTAGAAACAAGACATGAGCGTATCAGGTCACTTAGATCACTTAATAAAAAAGGGTTTTTGTTTTTTAGTAATTTCTTGAGAAGCTGCTTTTGATTACCATTTGCCCAAAAGATTTTTCAATTGGGAATTAACCTGTGCGCTACAAGAAATTAGTTGTGACACTTTACAAGAGAAAGTTCATATTCTACATTTTTCATACTCAAACTACAAATCAATCAGCTTTTTTTCCTTAATGACCAATACTGCTTCCACTGCTTTTTAGTAGTAGCAGAAAGAAGTAAACCTTTCATTGTTCAGTAATTATTTCACCTAGATTTCAAGCAGAATTTCTGAAAAGGCAACAAACAACACACAGATGTGATACCTCTGGATCCATGTCATAGAAAACACTAAAGAGTCCACGCTGGGTAGAGTTGGGTGGCACATGACCAAAAAAGTCAGCTCCTTGAATTTTGCTGTCCCAAAATCTGTAAGGAAATTGCAAGGCAATCTGGAAAGAGAGAGGGAGAGAGGATCAACGATTTTCCTACCTCAAAGCTCACAGCTGTATATGGTACCTGTTCTTCTTCCAGGTCTTTCTCTTTTCCCCTCAATTACAGACAGCTAGTTCTACCACGGGGTCTCTACAGAGATTTGGGCCTGTTCACCAGGAGCCAGGGAGGGAAATGAAACTGCTGAAATCTCACAAATTGGAAAGGGGCAGACAGAATTGAACTCAAAAGGACTTAGCTGTGAAAAACATTTGAGAAATTAAGCAGAAAACTTTTAGAAACACAAGGCAAAATGCAGAAATTCCCCACATGGAGGTGGGGCAAGGAAAAAGAAAAAAAGAAAAAAAAAAGTCACTAGGGATCTTCTCGGGAAACACGGTCTTTTTGCCCTGGGAAAATACTTTTGACTTTGGCCAAATTCAGAACTTTGAGTGTTCTTGTGAAGTAGCTAATTTATGAATTCTAACATAGATTTTCCAAAACTCTCAAAATCAGGTACAAAAAACCTCAAGTGATATCCTGCAAGCAATTTCCTTTAAAAGAGACATTTAAGTTGAAAATTTAAGCAAAAGACATGTTATTCCAGATACCATTTTGTTCTTATGGGCCTTTAAATAATAAGAGAGAAAAGGAGCATCTGAGCAGGATGTCTCCTCCCCTACTCCTTTCTTCTCTGTGCTCCACCTCCCCCCGCAATCACACATACCAGGCACATCACATAAGATTTTGGCCACAGAATACAAGTGAAAACAAACACATAAATCACAAGAAATACGTATCAAAAGCAAGAGGGCTAAAACAGCTTTCAAGCTTTCAGGGTTTTTTTGCACAGAAACTTAAAAGTGCTTCTAAATTACATACCTTCTCAATGACTCCTGCTCCTAAACTATTAATGGCTTTAATTTTTTTTTCTGACAGTGGAGGATTAAATTGAATAGCATTTTTCTGAAGAAGGGCCAGTGGTACAGTGACTAGCACCTGAGGAAAAATAATTACAGTCACAAGAGTAGCAAAAGCTGAACACAACAATTAAGCCTAACAGCATCCTCTGAATGGATTCCTACATTGGATTCCTACATTAAATGCCTAACAGCATCTTCCTACATTGGATTCTTCATGTAGGATGCAGCCTCATACTCAGCAGACAACTCAAGATTAGCGTCTGATTTTGCTTTGCACATTAATAGAAAGCACATACATTACATTCAAGTGACAACAAGAGTCTCACGTCACTGATTTCTATGCTGTAGTCTGTTCAGTTGCTTCCAGAGTGGCTAAACATACTGTTAATTAATTTATATTCAGTGACGCTCAAATTAACAAACCTATCTTTGAAGGGAGAGATGGTCATTATTTTGTTTTCTTTTCCTCTTCAACCTTCCTCCCTCAAAAAAATCTGTTCCCTAACATTGCTGATGTCCATGCAATCTCGATGGAGCTTAACATATCATTTAAAAAAAAAACAGACTAAAAGCTAACTTAAGCAGCAAGGAAATCAGGAAATAAGGAAGACTGAGAAACACTAGGTGTCAAGTCTAACATCCCAAAAGGAGCAATTTAACAGCACAGATTCACATGTCATACAAGGTGAAGTTGAATAGGGAACATAAACTGTAACTCACTTCAGAGACCAGATAAAAATGTACTTGCTGCTTCCTCCTGCTCCCCTTTTTGGATACGTGCAGAAGTTACCGAGTTCTTTAAGTGAACAAGTACTCAAAATTCAAGCATGTTCAGTGAAAAACAGTCACTAGCTCATCCGCATATGGGCCACTAGAGCATAGGAATTTTCATCTTTGGGGGTAGGGGAAGAAATTGGACTGCACAGTCTTCTGAGAGAGGAAAAATGAGGAACTTGCATTACACTCAACATTGTTCTCGCTTTCCCTATTCACTTGAAGCATCGTGGGTACCTTTTGGGCTGTCCACACTGTCCCTTCTGCAGTAGTGACCTGTACTTCCTCGCCAGTGTAGTCTATACTGTGTACCTATTGAGAAATAAATGCACAAAGATTATAAAGTAAGATCTGTATGTAAAACACAGATTCAGACAAGAAGAGCTGATTTAGCACCACTCTGCAATCTAAATATTGAAGGATATAAATTTACAGAGAAATACTAAGAGAAAGGAAAGAGGAAAGGAAAAAGAGCCTCTATAGAAGCTAATTAAAGTAATCAATGTCCTCAAACAGGATTTCCAGGAATAGGATAGTATTCGTTACTAGAGATAATAAGCTGCTGACATAAAAAAAGGAAAATAATGGTACTCTTTAAAATTTTAGTTAATTACAAAAACAGGCTTTTTATTAGTATATCTCTGTGAACAAATACTAATACAAATACTAATCCAAGTATTTAGTATTATTTAGACTGTATCCCTAGGATGCAGAAGTACAGCTGTGTTTCGAGTACAGATTTAATAGAAATAGTATGACTCAATGGTAATTACAATGGCAATGCTTTAATTTCTGATCACTCAGAAACTAAAAATAAAGAATACTTAAATTGTCTTCTCTTTTTCTAAAGTTGGACCCAATTTTCCATCTATAAAAAAGAAATTAATAATGATAAAAGATGTATTAGCAGTGAGGGTGACAGAGCACTGGAACAGGCTGCCCAGAGAGGTTGTGGAGTCTCCTTCTCTGGAGATCTTCAAAACCCACTTGGACGCAGTCCTGTGCCATGTGCTCTAGGTGACCTGTGTGTGCAGGGGGTTGGACTAGATGATCTCTAGAGGTCCCATCCAACCTCAAGGATTCTATGATTTAATGGTTCAAGACAAAACAAGCCAGGCACTGCATTAGCCTCACCCAGACTTACTGGAAAGTTCAGCCGGATGTCCAGTCCTTCTGCCAACGTATCGATCACAGTAGAATATCCCACAGTTAGCAGCGTGTGATCTCCAGCAAACTGAGCAAAAAATTCATTGTGGTCCCACGAGCGTGCAGATACCTGAGAGAACATCGGAGCTGTCTCTGCTGCTGAGGCTACACAAGCACTTCGCAGCAGCCCCACCGCTCACAAAAGGCCGCCCTATTTGCCCTCACAACTGGGAAAAAAATACACCACCAGAAGAAATGGCAACTCCAACAAAAATGCACAACTCACGTCCCTAGGGCTCTATATGCCACATAAATTCCTGGATTACTAAGTGTCATAATAGAGGCTGGTCACCAGCAGATAATTTATATTTCTGCTTGGTATAGAAAACAAAGGCAAGAGGGGGAAAAAAAAAAAAGAAAAAAAGAAAAGCAGGTGTTTTTGCAGTGTATTTATTTCCATTCTCGACCTGCTTGGGGGAGGGGAAAAAAAAAAGCTATCAAGTAAAATATTTAGATATCAAATAAAAAATGAGATATTTTATTTCACAACATTAAGGAGGAGATCTCAAAAATCAAAACAAAAATCATAACTAACAATTTGTAGGCTCTTCCAAGACTCATTTCATTGACCTTCACTTCTCAGCTCACCCCAAAAACCCATAGCTCATACAGTAGTGATATTTGCACTAAGTAATCACATCTTGACAGTCAAAAAAGATCTCAGACTGCTATTCAAATGTGAATTCCTATCATTGCCGCATATTTTTATTTTTTAAAATCGAAGGTAAAGTATGATAGATTTTAATATCTTTCTTATTACCCCTTGGGTACTTGTGAGGTGTGAAAGCTTGAGAGATCAAAATATTTCACATTGACTGAGCTGGCACAGCACTGTCTTGCAGTTTGTGTTCTTACATGTGCTTCTCAGTTCAAATGATAATTGTGCATCTGCACATATCAGTCATTCCACTACTGCAAAATACTGGTCCCTAACATCAGCAACAGGACTGAATAAGTAACACACAGCAAACAACATCAAACTTGGATATTTCCTGAAGCTGCTTGGAATTGAAATCAAAAGTGAAGTCAGGAGGAAAGCCAAGTATCACATAGTCAACAGAATACCTAGGAGTAGTGAACTGGGGCCCACCGTCATGCTGTTGCAACACTTCAGAAGTTAAATGCATTTATTCTCAAGATACCTAGCAAGGTAGAGAAATACCTCAGTTTCTAAACACAGGACTGAGAAGCAGAGAAGTCACACACAATATCTGAGGAAGATCAATTCTTCTGTGAATGCTACTGCCCCAAATCTCTGCAGAACACCCTTTTCCACTGCACCAGCTACGCTCAACTTTCAGCCTAAGAGAGGTTCTCAGTGGAAACACAGCAAGAAACCCTCCTAAGTTACTTTGGGAGGTGTTGGAATCCATGTCACTGGATGTTTTTGAAGAAAAGGTCAGGGATACAGGAACAGTTTAGAGATCACTGATTCTCCCTTGGGGCCAAGGGATGGATTGTATGACTTCTCAAGGTCACTTCCAAGCCTATTTTCTAGGAAGCTCCACTATTTCAAAACACAGCTGTCAAAACTCACCTGAGAGAGAGTGGTGCCACAGGCATACTCCAAGTTACTGAGATGGAACTGCAGTACTTTTTCTTCCAGCTCACTGAACTGGATACCAGACTCCTGAACAAAGGCTTTATAGATCTCTTGTATTTTCTCTGTACAAGAACACATTTGAAATAAGGATGTGGTGAGCTACATCACAACTCCCATCACATAACAGCATACTTGGTATAACCAACTGAGACAGGAGATAAAAATCATTACACCCCCACCATCAATATACAGTTGATGATATGTCAAGATAACAGAGAATCCTTGCAAAAAAATCCTCCTGTGATTTTTACAAAGCTGAAAGAGCTAAGCAAGTAGATTCACAGTTCACTGAAGAATGTAAGGACTAAGTTTTCTTACACCTATGCTGAAAAGATTTGGGAGGTCTTTATTTCTAGCACAATTATATTTTCTTGTGGACCATACTGGCATGCTATAAGTGTGATGGATGGGACCCCTTTTCCAGCAGAAGACTTTGATCAAGCTCTTAGATTAGGCAAAAAGAATGGCAAGTTAGGGCTAGCTCAACTGCTATTGTCACTGGAATATAACCAGTAGGGAAAAAAAAAAAAAAACTTAAGTCATGAAAACAAGGTACTACATCAAAAGTAATATATTATTTAAAAGCCTTCAAATTAGGCTTCCTTAAAAATTCTACGTGACATTTTGGCCCAGGTCTATATGATGATCAAGCTCTGTCATTAATAGAGCGAGGATTTCACTGCTGGATTTAAAGCCACATACACAACCACACACCTCTAAACCTTACACATGAAGTCAAAGGCAAGTTGTTATCAAACACCAATTCTAATGATTCTGAAGACAGCTACATGTTCACAGTTAAAAACATATCTCGCTTACCACCGAGAGGGACATCGTGGTGCTGCGTTTTATCCTTTCTCCACTCAGAGACAACGTCCAGGATGGCATTGAAATGGAAATCCATGCGTTTATCAATAGTGGGATCTGTTATCCTTCCGCCTTCTTGAATCAAGTCACATCTCTCTCCTAGTTTGTGCATTTTAATGCCAAGCTTAAGGGAAAGACATTGTATTACTTTAAGTATGGAAAAACTGTAAGTTTTTCAAAGTTATTTAAAGTTAGATGAATCCCCTAGATTCAAAAACCACCACTTAAAGATATCCAAGTCTTGAAATAATGTCAAATTATCTCAGAATTTCATTATCTTAAAAACTGGAGTAACAAATTCCCCTTCCCTTCTTTTTCTCAGTTCTCCACAAATTCTAGTTTTTTTTTTTTTAATTATTATTGTTTGTTTTGTTTCTTCTTTCCACTCCTCTATCCTTTGCTATATCAGGGTTTTCCTGAAACCTCATCTCTAACCTTATCAAACCAGGGGCTAATATGTAGATACTTGGTCTAGGAATCAAATGTGATGAACCAATGTGTTCTTCATTTAAATCTCATCCTTATTGTCTAATTGTCATTAATATCAGTTATTTTGCACAACTTTCTGGTGACTGATGCCCAAATAATTCCCTGTGATTCAGAAATTGCCAGTTATTGCCTATTTCCTGAAGCACACAAGCAAAGAAAGAAATTATTTTAAAGTGAACCTAGTATCTTGCTCTGCTTGTTTAACTCATATGAAATGCACATAAGACACCTAGGTTATAATAAAGACTTTTAAAATGTTTAACAGAGTCAGTCCGGAGAAAATAGCAAAAATGCAGCACTAACTTCTTCCTAGAGCCTTGTTACCTAGAGCACACTCCAAAGTTTTTCTCATATCCTCACATATCTCTAGGCTGCTGCTCACCACTGCAGATCTCTTCAAGATACAGTTGTACTTTGAATGAAAGCTGGCATCAATGACCACATAGGGATGGGCTCCCAATGTGTATTCAGAAGTCATTGCTCCTCACCTCATAACTAAAACATGATTTAAGAAAAAAATACATTTTTATTCTTCATGACACTACAGAGTGCTAAACAGTTAACACTACATGTCTGTCTGAGTAACCTCTTACTCAAGTTTCACTTGGAGAAATTCAGCTTCCTGCCCAAAAGTCTAATGCATTTTGCTTTTTGTAACTTGTGTGAAGCTGAACTAGAAACAGAGGCCAAAAAAGGCACGTCTGCTACAGAACCATGTATTAAGACAGCACAGCAATAGCCTCCCACGTAAAGCCCTTTCCAGCTCCAAGGATTTGCCTATGTTAAAGTCATCAGCTTGCCAGGGCCCTGCTACATTACTGTCTCCAGAAAAGGGCAAAACTATTATTGCTTCTGATTCTGAAGCTGGAGTCACATTGTTCTGCCTTACAAAATGCCCCTGAAACGGCTCTACCACCCTTCTCTGCCCACAGCTGCTACCAAAGATATGATAACAACAAGAAGTTCACTTACAGCTGGGCTTTAACAGCGTCAGGAAGAACAACTGCCACCCTTATCCACCCACCCAAGGCTGGCTTCTAGCAACCACTTTTTCTGCTAATGACAAGTCACGACCACTGCAAGGAACCCACTTGCTCACACATTAGTGCCATCGGGTTGTTGACACATCCGTTGACTATTTGGGCACCTCTTCCAACAGTGACTCCTTTGAACGTCTTATCATCCCACACTCGGCCACCGATCCTGTCTTTAGCTTCCAGGACAATGACCTAGGACACAGACACAGCTTAGCAAACTGTGAAGTCTGGTTATTTTCAACATCACCTTGCAGTTGAAAAGGTACGGAAAAGTAATCAGGTATGCATCAAAGCTAATAATCTGAGCATTTTATTCTTGGTTTGTGAATGTAGTTCCTTTCATTTATGCATTTAAATTGTCTTTCAAAGACAATTTAAAGACATACAGACATAAAGAAAAAAATTTTAAAATGTTAATTAAAAAACAAAAAATCTAAAGACATCATTTATGAGATGCCTTAACCTTCAGTTTTGAGATATTACAGCTATTAAATAGAATGATCCAGATGCAACATCCATCCGAGGAAGTCTGTAAACCTTTCGGAGGAATTCAGTCCTGGGATGTTCCAAGAATACCCCTTTCTCATATTTTCACTATTCTTGTATACCTCCTTCAGCATCCACTACTGGTCATAGTCAGTCATAATCAGAGTATATTTCATTTATATAAAACTATTCTGACAGTTGATCTTTATATATTTTACTTCTGGAAAGCTTTCTACAAGATATGATGCACAAAAAGCATTTCCTTAATCAATAGCCTCACAAATGTTTATATGTGTAAGGAGTCACACAGATTTTTCATAATACTCCAGTGTATAAAATTATGTCAACACATAACCACTGTGGGCAAAATTGGCAATGATAAATAGGAAGGAGAAAAGAAACATATCCAGTTTCAGATATACCTGTTTTTAATAAACACATCATGCAACAAGAATACAGTAAAGTGCATAGAACCGCAAAAACAATTCTTATTTAAAATAGTCATCATAACCTAAAGTTCCATTACTTGGATGTGAATATCCACATCTCTGCTACCTTCAACCCAAGTCTACATAAAATATTCATTGCTTGCTTAGTTGAACTTTCACTATAACACTTGTTTTAACAGTAGATTTACTCAGTAAATCTCCAGAATTTACAAGTGTCTATGTATAGAGCATCCTAATTCATTTGGAACAGGATTGTCATTTTCCTCACTTTGACGAACACTTTCAAAGGAGGAGTTTGATTTTTTTTAAGTTATGCACTCTAAAGTTTCTTACCTTAATTCCAAAATTGTGCAGTTGTCGAGCTGCTGCTAATCCTGCTGCCCCAGCCCCAACAATGATGACTGATTTCTAATAATAAATAAAAAAGTTTGAGTTTTTTTTTTTAAAAAAAAAAAGAGAGGACATTTCATACATTTTTATTCCTGAAGATAAAATATCTACAGGCTTCAAAAGTTTATGCTCTCTTGTTCTCTGAAGTAATCAGTTTAGCCTTTAGAAGCAATAGTACATTCAGTATATAGAAAAGGCAAGTTGTAGTTTTGAGAACAGATACAGATTGAGCACTTTAAAAAAAAAAGGCAGATATTTCTACTCATTTCATCTAAAACAGTTGAAGTTACCAAATGCCTAATGCAATCTAGAGCACAGCACTTGCAATGATTTCAATCACAAACGTAGCTGACCATTAAAGAACAGTTTATAAGTTAAACACACAATTATGCTTTCCATGTGTAAGTCAACTTACTATTTCTAGATTTTCTGTTACAGAACATGCGGATTTGCTAAGTTTGTCTGAGATGTCATACAAATTGCTAGCCATAAATATGTACTTTTTAATCATGGTTCTTGTCAGCCAGCATGGAAGAGGAGTTTCCTCACCTATGGAAGCTCAATACATGAGTTTGGTGTGTTACAATGTAAGCTATGAGAAGACCCTACATGTACTGCGTGTTTTTCACACAGTTCCCCTCTGTCTGAGGGAACTTACAGAAAGCACAGTGAAAGCACAGATTTTCATGAGAACCAATGCCTTGCTAGCAAGAATCTGTTGTCTAAAGTTTCAATAACCATTAAAGGCAAGTGAGAACTGTGTGAAAAACACACAACTCTGACATGGTTTGAATGACAGATTACAAGCAGAAAATAGTAAGAATAAAATAAATTTTAAAAAAGTAAAAAATATACAACCTGAAAAAATATGATATGTGCCATTTAGTTTTATAGCACTAACAACAGGGATTATTACAGCAACTTACATTATGGTACTCTTTAGGAAGGAGATACTGGTCAGGACTGACTGATAGGATCCCTGTATTAACTAGCCCTTTCCTTGTCATAAAATACAGTATCCTCTCCATTTCCTGTACGCAGCGAATACGCACGAGCCCCCGCACAATGATATGATTAATACATTTTTGAGGAGTAAGAGCCTCCTGCAGAAGGGAAACAAAAGAGGAAAGTGTCAGTAGTCTAATAATTTAATGTGGGTATAACACATTTAGACTGTAAGCCAGATGTTAAGGTTTAATCAGGAACCATACAGATTTCTGAGAACATTATAGAAGTTTGCTTTCTGGAAGTCTTTTGTCAGCCAGCTTTACAGAGTGTGCCAACAGTTTCCCTCTTCCAACTTTCCTATAAACACAAAGCAAGATTATCATGGAAAAGGAAAACATGAGTCTGTAAGATACACTTGTGAACTCCATGGTGTGCCTTAGAAATGCATCAAATGGGAATGAATTCATTGCAAATATGAATCTACCTGCTAGCAATGCTCACAGATAGCATTTCAGCAAAAATGAAATAAAAATAGATCAATATCCAAAACTGCCACACATAAATACTGACATTTGTATCTGTAAGTTTGCACACGTAAAATTTCAGTAGGCTCCAGCTTTCATTTATATTACATACAAATAGAAGCAATTCTATTGAAGGCAGTGGCAGAGAGATGCCAGAAGCAAAAAGACAGTCAGTTGCTATCCAACATTCACATGAAAATAAAAGGATAAAGCACCCACTAACGTTTAGAAACGTTGAAGCAGCACTTTGAAACTTAATAGCTGGGTGTATAATACAAAGCCTTAATAGCTTAAAACCTTGCATTTTACTGTATTAAATTTACAACTTTATTATTACTATTCACAGAACTGATTTTCTAAACAATGGGAGCAATTTTTGTGCTGTGTAAGGAGATGCCTGAGGCAATTCCCTTTTCCCTTTCCCAGAAGGGCTCCCCATCCCCAGAAGCACCTATTATTTGCCAACAGCCCAGTCACCATCTCCCACCTTGCAGTTGGTATACCACAGAGCCAAAATCAGGTTTCTTAAGGCCAAGTACATGGTAGGGTCTCGTGAATATTCTGGGAACTCATAGAGCTCATCCAGTTCCATGACATCTGGTCTCACACAAAGTGCTTTGCCACATTCATTGGGCTGGTAAAAGGGCTGGAAATATTTGTTCATTCCTGCAACTGAAAAAAAAAGACACACAGACAATTAGTCACATTCTGCTGTTTCCTTGCTGTCCCTCTAAGATGGCCCTCAAGTAGATAAACAAGTACTGAAGTATTTAACTCTCTAGCCACCTTCCAAATGGTTTCATTTCATTTATATAATCATGTATCCCTCTTCTACCCTTGGGCTGCGCAGTACCCTTCTACCTGGCCCTGTCAGAGCTTACCTTTTGTAAGAAAAGCAGTATGTGCCCCAGGTACCATGAGGAGGCTAGCAAAGGACAAGATCTAAACTCAAATCTGAGGACTACGAGGACAACCACTGCTGGTGCAGACAGTGCAGGCTCCTGCAGTCCTCTGAACCCCTGTCATCTTTGACCCCCCAAACTGCCTGCAGTGGGTAGGAACTACAAGTAATCACCCTGCATAGGCAGCACTGGTAGCTCTGGGTAATGCAGCCAGTTTTCTCCCTGTTTGTTAAGTAGACAGGTATCTGTCGAATAGATAAGCTGATTTATTTGCAGCACCTAAGGAGAACAAAGCTAGGATGTGGAAACTGCACTTTGCTCAAAGCACTCTCTCTGAGCTAGAACTGAGCTTTATCAATAAGCACGAACACGGAAATCCTGAATTACCATTTTTCTACCTGACCTGTTTTGCAGATCAGTAGAAGATTTGCACTCCCAGGCTCTCAATCTCAAAGCTGTCGTTAACGAAGAGTTAAGATAAAAAGAATCTGAATGCCTGCAGGAGTCCTGTCCCTTCTCCAGAGCCCCAGAGATGCACAATATCAAAACGAGCAAAATTATATTTTGTTCTCTATTTTTTTTTAATAAATCCTCATTTCCTTAAGAATGCAAACACCATTTAAGCACCCATAAGTTAATTTCCCATTTCGATCAGCAAATGCCAGGTGGCAATCAGCAAGCCTGTGCTCACACCTAAAAGAAATGCCAGGAGGAGAAACGCGTTACCTTCGGCTTACGGGCAGGTAACATAGGAGGCGGAGAGGCAGTCACCCAGAGCGCATGTGTTAGTGCTGAGACAAGAGCCAGCGTTTCTGAGCCGGGAGCTGCAGGTGCTTTAGCAACTCAGCTCCGAGACAAGATGTACCACACCTACTTTAGCCACAGAGCCCTGCAGACGGCCCTTACCAGTCAAATTAGGCACGCTCTTTAAGTGCTCTAACTTCACAATGTTGGATTCACCAGGTAACCGATTAGTGCTGGTACAGGATGGACTCATGCCCACGCAGTCTGGATAATATGCAGCTAGAAAGGGAGCTGCCACACTGTCTTTCAGCAAAGGAGGGAGTATGAGCATGGAGTACCACCAATGGTCTGAAACTTCAGCCACTCTCTGGCCAAGCGGAGAAGTGAAGGAAAGAGGGGAGAAGAGAACACGTCAGTACTTGGAAAACGTTGGAAAAATGAACCAATTCCCCCCTCCCTCCAAAACTCAGACCAAAAAGCACGAGAAGCACCAGTCTCAGAATTGCAAGTCATAAAGACATTTTCTCTCCCTCTTTCCCCTTCCTCAGCCTGACACAGAAAGCTGTAGCATTAACCTGCTCCTCAGAAATGGAGCTGAAACACCACAGACTCCACACCCTTGTGGAAAGCAAACAGACAAGACACGCCATAACAAGAAATCTGTGCCTTGTGAGGCCCGTGATAAAATGTTTACAGTTGTTTATGCAGCCAGAAATCTGAACTGAGAAACATCCGAACTAACTGATCGGTTTTACTTGGACTCTACTATCCCCATCAAAGACCTCCTATATCCCTAGCAAACACTAATGATTCAGCCTGGACTTAGAGATCAAAAATGCATTAAGGGAACTAAAACACAGAGCTTCCACAAGAGTCAACAGTAATTCACTTAAACATATTTCCTGGAATAGAGGTACCTCAGGTACACTTGCCAACACTGGTTAATTGATGAGACAAAATCTGAAATGCAGTGTTACATTATTATAAAAACATTGCAACAGCAAAGAACACCAAGTATAGTTTTGTGTTACGAGGGGGAAGAGAGAGAAAACATGTTTTGATGTTCTTGTGCAGTTTCAAAAAGAGATGACTAGCTTTAACCAGGAAAGAAACCACCTGAAAGACCTGGAAATTTGGGGAATGGATTTTTATTTGAAAGTTGGCAATTGAATGCTGCCTTGCATGCTCAAAATGCAGATTTAGGACTAAGCCTTGAATCACAGAAGGACACCAAGAACCTCCTGAAAACTATTTTTATAGGAAGTGAAGAAAAAGAAGAGAAAGCAGTAGGCTGCTGTAGGCTCTGTTGCAAATAGTGATTGGCAGTTTCCTGGACAAAATGCATAAACTCTGTCATGACTAGCCAAAGGACTAAGAAAAGGAAAGCACGTGTCATGCTTTAAGATTGCTTTTACACTCTAGGACAAATGAGGAGGAACAACTGCTACTCACCAAGTCCTCAGGCATTGAACACTGGTCAGAGCCCTCAGTCTGAAAGAAAAGTCAATTATATCAGTACTGGTCTTAAGTTATACAAAAAAAGAAAAAATATATACTGATCTATATACTCATCTGACATTAAAATATACATCCCGTTCTAAGGAGAACACCAGAAAAAAAAATAAAGAAAAAAAGAGAGCGGAATTTTATAAAGAAATTCTGTAAAGATTCCACATTTTCCAGGATTCTTCCAATCTAGACTAAATAGGAGATTTTTTTTTTTAAGAGTATCTTTATCACTGAATTTCAAGGTGAAATGTTTACCCTTACACTTCTTATACGGGCAGCATTTTCACGTCCTGTTTCTTACTGTGTAAATTCTATGACAGCATAAAGACCCTCTGAAATTTCAGGAATTACCTTCCTGCTAAATCCAAAAATGTTTACTTTAAGCCCCAAAGCAAACTTGTTAAAAATTAATAAAAGCTCTTAGAACTTTTCTATTTCTTTCCTCAACAGTGGAGTATGCTAAGCAAAACAGAACATTTTAGTGTATGCTTATTCTGTACATACTGATATCTTTCAGCGACGACAGATTTTACAACTAACCATGCAGACAAAGAAGATTCTGTATATTTCTCTTTTGCCATTTTCACTTGGAAACAAAGAGTCCAAACACCTTGTAGGACTCTAACCATGCAATTCTCCAGGTGGCTTCTGAAATAACTTCTCTCAGAACTTATTTTGACAGTAAAAATATTAAAAAGGAAAACAAGAAGAAATCCACGTCTTCAAACAAGAAAATCAGCAACTAGTTCCCACAAGGCAGACCTGCTGGCTCATACCTTAGTAGAATTGTTCAGTTTCATACCACATCTGTATGTTTTTGCTATTTGCGGTGTCAGCTGGATTTCCTTTGTCAGCTGACGCCATTTACCACATTCTGGCTTTGTGCACTGCACCTACGAGTTAAAAAAACAAACATGTTTTTACTTGTTACTGATCATAGATAAGGCTAATGAAGATTGCTAACCAATAAGAAAGAAGGTAAATGGGAGGGAAGAGTTAAACACAGGCTAAACACAATTTTTAAATTGATTCTCGTGTAATCTGCATGTCACAAGTGAGACATTTGCTATTTGTAAATCTTGTGTCAATCTCCCATAAGCAAATTTCATCATAGAACCTAACTCCAAAATTAATTCTATACCTGATTGCACACCACTAAGAGAATACTTCCTGCCATCCCAGTCTCTCCTTTTTTTCTCCTACCTTTATGATGGAATTATAAAATCTATTTGTTTTTTTTAAATCTCATGCACTCCTGCTTCCGCTAGGCATGCTGTTTTCCCTACCATGTCTTACTCTATTTGCACATCTGGGCTTGCTGCTTTACTGGGAAACAGGAGAAGGCTGTGGAGACGCTGACCAGAATTATTATCTTGAGCATCTCCCCGGTGCGCTAACACCAGAAAGCCCCTATGAAACCTCAGCTGACCTGCCACCCCATTACAGAATTAGAAACCGTTTCAGAGCAAGAACTAAGGAAAAGGCAGAAAGGATGGAACAGAAAAGGTAGTTTGAATACAGAAGTGTGTCCTGTCTCAGACTACCATCACACTACAATATACCCGAGCCCACAAATCACTCACTCTGTCTTACCCAGTAAGGAAGCTGTTGATCAGCCATGAAGGCTTTTGGACTGGGCTCACTTTTACCATTACTCGTCCAAATCCTTTTCCAGGCAGTATATTTCTCATAACCATCCTTATGGCTAAGAAGACAGAGAAAGGAGAACAGCAAGCAGTTAGAAAACCGAATGATCTAATTTATTTTAAGCAACAGCTGTTACTCTAAAATTAAACATTTTATATAATGACAGAGAAATGAAACTGAAGATAGTCCTATATTTTTTCCTAATAATAAAGGGAGACGGTCATGGATCTTACAGTAGTGATACAGAGCACCCTGGCCACTATGTGCTCTTAACAGTGAGCACACATTCATCATGTGCTCACTGGTTTCGCTTTACAAAGATGCAATGTCTCCCGAATAGAGAATAACCATGCAGACAAAACAGCCTGCTTAAAAGCAACTGGTTTTGTTCCTGCTACTACATATAAGTTGATTATTAGCCCATACTACACTTGCAGTTTTCCCAGCAGCACCTGAGCCCCACCTCAAAAAAAAAAAAAAAGGCAAGCCAGAAGACAATCCTTTGTGTGCGTGTGCGTGCATATATATATGGATACAGATGACATCTCAATGCTTGTAATGTCTGCCAAATTTTTAATAAGTTTCAAGCTTAATTAGCAAATCTACCTTCGGTAATAGTGGTCAAAACATTCATTGCAGAAGTGTTCCCCACAGGACAGATGATACCATCTAGACGTATACCCATTTTTAGCACATCTGAAACGCAAGAGACATGGAAATAGCATTACAACACATTTCCAAAACCTCCCTATTGACAAGAGCGCCTCCCCTAGCGCAAGGAGCCCGCGAAGGACAGGACAGGGCCACACGAGCTGCCCTTGCACCCCACGCCACGGCACACGAAGCGTACAGGAGGACAAAGCTTCTCTCCATAGGAGCCTGTGGTTCCCTTAATTGTTTCATTTCGTCCCAGTATTAGCGCAGGGTGGGAGAGATTGTTTAAATGAGTCTTTTTCCCGTCCCTGCCCAATTGATTCGTATGTCATTGTAGCACCTATTCTCCCCAGGACAACAGGTGAAGCTATAAACGCAAGTCTGAACACAAAACAGATGTTGGCAATTTTTTCATGCAACTGAGTTGGCTGCAATTTTAACCCAGATCTCGAGATTTAACAAGATCTCGAGCAAATAGGTTCACATTTATTAACCTCAGAAAGAAATACACATTAACAATAAGTACATTCATCAGACAAAGCAATCAGGCCAGCACTCTTAATTTAGAGAAAACTCTCAGGTAACTCCATGAAATGTTTCCCTAGAGCTAAAAGTACAAGTGGTAAAAAGCAGTGACCTAAGCTACTAACTGAAGCTAGTCACAAAAGAACTTTAAAATAATGTTTGCATTAAAATGCACTTTAAAATAATGCATGCATTTTGTTTAAAAGAAATGACAGTATAAAGATATATAAAATATTAATGTATGTAATAAGACTAATATGCTATGTACATCATCTCCTAAATGAAAAAAGCAATGTTACTGATACCAGTTTATCAAGTATTCATTTACCAAAAGTTTCTTATCAAGAGCCAGTAACAGTTGCCTTTCCTATGTCATTAGTGTGCAGAGCTCCTGATGCCAAGAAGTGATTCATATATGAAATAACCTAGTGCTCCATTTCATTGTCTTATTGCAAAATAAGACAAAATGGAAAGTTTGTCTTCAGCAACAAGGGAGGGAATAATGCCACAAACATACGTTCTGCCTACTGCATAATGAGGTCAGACACGCTCTTTATTAAGGGTAGATCTTCCCTCCATCGTAAGGTATTCTGGGGGGTTGGACTAGATGATCTCTAGAGGTCCCTTCCAACCCTAAGCATTCTATGATTCTATGATTCAGCACCTCCAGGTTCAAAATGCAAAAAGTGCTTGAATATAGTGCATAAAGTTGCGAGACTTTGAGACAAAGCGGCCAGGACCTCAGGTTGCAAGCTCAGAATCTCACCTCGGATTGCAAAGCATTTCAACAAGGGAGTGACAGGGAATTTCTGCAGTAAACCATGGTTTCATTTTCCATCTTAATGGCAAGTTTAGCTTCCTCCAATTTCACAAAAGTGCTCTTAGTTTCACAGCAGCAAGGCATGGGCCAAAAGGCAACATTAATAATCTAAATAAGCTTATCCTAGAGAAATTCTGTATCAGAATTAGCAACTTTCGCAGGAAAAAAAATCACCAGCAAAAGGAATAATTTGTGACACTTTCCTGGCATCTTGAGCCTGCAAGGAGACATTTAGTATCTTTCAGATCTCCCTGCACATTTAGAAGTGAAAGTTTTTCCACAGTGTATTTAAAATTCTGAACCTCAAATGTAAGTGTAGGAAAGTCAGTGAAGAATACAGGTGTGCAAATAAAAAGCAGCAAACCTTTCCGCTGCACTGGCAAAGCAAACCGGACATGCTGCAGTGCATCCAGCTTTTTCACACTTCCTATACTTCTTCTCCGATGCTTCGTCATCATCATCTGCTGCTTCAGCTGCCTTCTTCTTTACCTAATAAAGAAGAGATGAAATCTGGCTGCAGATGCATTTGCAACACTGCAGCCTTCAAACTGTTCTGTAGTTGGCGGCACAGCTTCAAATAGTTAAAATGATACAAATCAAACCTTTTCAATCCATTGCGAAATAGCTGCAGCATGAAACAACTGTCAAAGTAGGTCATTTCTGGTTTTTGTTTTTTAAAAACAAAAAAGAAGAAGATAGAAATACCACTTAGAGATAAAAACATCTTGCCTTAGTCTAACTGATGCTACTAAAGAATTTGTAAGAAAAGCTTCTAGTTTAAATCATATTTTAAACTACATCACGTGGGAATGACTCAGGCCTCATGCATTCATGCTCTCTCTCCTTTAGAGAACCAAAACCTGATTGGTACTGATTGGTTGTGGTCAAGGTTTGCCATCTGCTGCTCAAATAAAATATCCATTGTTTCTTTGCTTTGCTTTTATTGACTCCAGATACAAAGTTATGTACCAAAACACTCTTCTGGGCCTCAAAGGTGCTCTGTATTGAATTGTTTTAGGCCTCAGTCCAGATGAGCAAATGGCCTTTTTTGGCTCTACAGGGATCTGTGATCATATCTGGAATACATCCAGTACCAACAGGTTATACTAAAGAGCTGCCTTTTCAAAATACTGTTTATAAGGAAGGTAGTTAATTACTTGAATAAGTAATTCTCTCTTTGCATAACTACTCTGCAATGCAAAGACTTCACATTGAAGCTCCTTTTTTTTTTTCCTAATAAATGTCAACAATAAAATACAAGAGTACAAAGCCAAGTATTTTTAACTTATTGTAAATACCTGTCTTCCTGAACTCCTCAGAGGTAGGTTGTCTGGAGACTGGTCTGAAGAACAGGTTTTTTTTTTCGTTCGTACCCTTCCAGTTGACATTGTACTGTTAGATCTGCAAAAAGAGGTAGAGGGTAGTTTAGAAATAAGAATAATTGGTTGACTTTGCAACCAATTATTTAATTACCTGGACAGTTCAGCCACTTTCATGATACTGCTTTTGCCAGAGTTACCTAGATAAGAATCTGTTTAGCTTGACTATTAATCTAAGAGGACAATGAGAACGAGGCATTTAAGGGGAAAGGAACAATAATATCATTTTAAACTAAACTCGGAGTTAAGATTAGATCCTTGAGTACATCTTGACCGGATGTCCCAGAGCAGCACACGCTGGATTTCAGTAATCTGATTTGTGCAACAGCAAGACCCGGGCTGGCATTACCACCGGCAAGGCCAAAAGCACCGGCTCAAAACGGCAGCTCCGAAGCACCACGTTTAGCACCACTCCTCTCCTGCTTGGGAGCAGGAGATCCACAGCGGGAAGCGCCTTTCCACAGCCCATACTGGAGAGACATGTAGCACCAGGTGAACAGCCCGCTCCAGGGCTTGCCTCCTCTCTGGTGAATAGCATGACGATGAGTAAGATGCAAATAAAGAGAGCTCAGAGCAAGAATTAAACCTAAAAGATCTCCCCCACACAGAAGGGAAGTGGGAAGAAAACCCAGCCCTGCTCTAGTTCACCGACTGGGGCTTCCACTGCAGCCCTGATGCCATCGTGCTGCCGTCGCTGTCAGCTCTCAACTTCTACCCCTGAGGCTTCCCCGGTCTCTGTGTCCACCAGGCTGCGAGCTCCTCGCCCCAGCCGAGGGCAGCGGGCGCGCGCGCAGGAGCGGCCCGGGCGGCTTTGCTGAAGGGGGCCGGGAAAGAGAATGACATTTTCGCAAGGTTTCAAATGAAGCCGACGTGAACCAAGTAAATGGAGGCATTATTCCCCTCCCAAGAGGAGAGATGTTGATTCGGGAGGAGTAGGGGAAAAAAATAAATAAATCACACCTTATCCGCATAAGCGAGAAGAAAAGGGAGTGCGGACAAGCCAAGACAAGAATCAACTTCCCTTTTTTTTCTGGATGCAAAAACAGTTGTAGCCTAATGGGGGGTTGGGAGGGAGGTGCACGGCATCGCTCGCTGCTGCCCGAGCGCCCGGCGCCCCTGCACCGCAGCGCACCCTGCGCGTGGGCGGGCATGCCCGGAACAGAAAGGAAAACCAGCAGGAGATTCCCCTGCGCCACCGCGTAACCCCGCAGGAAACGGGGAGGTTTTGTTCTGCTATTTCCCCCCGCAGCCTTCCGCCGGGACCCGGGGCACCGCTCTGCACCTCCTTGTGCCGCTCCGTTTCCTACCGTGGCGGACGGGCCCGCAGCGCGGCCGCTCTGCGGCCCGGGCCCAGGAGCGCCGGGTCTCAGCGCGGAGCCTGGGCGCACGGGAGGGGAAACATTTAGCTAAAATTCGCTAAAAACGCTCAGTAACGACATTTATGATTCACGCAGGCTTGCTGCTTTGAGGGGCAGAGCAGGCCGCTCTTGTGGGATCACTGACATGTTTTTGCCATAAAATATATATACACTGGGGAAAATGAGCAAGAAAGAAAGAACGGGACCATTTTATCGGTTTATCCATCAAGAGGGCCCTTGTATCTATCTGGATGCAGCTCTGCCCCCATCTCCCCTTCCTAAAACAAGCAGCAAACCCCAGGCCCACAGCTTGCCAAGCACCACGCTGACGCCGCTTACGGTGCGGAGCTTTACCCAACGCCGCACCCCATAACCACAGCCTGGTCTTGGGAAAAAAACCCCTTTAAGAGAAGGCAGAAGGAGAGACAGAAGGACAGGCAGGTCTCCCCCGCTTGCAGCACGCGGCTGTGGGAGCGCGTGTCACAGGGCTGACGCGCACAGGTGACAGCAAGCTGGCCTTAAAAAAATAAAATAAAAAATAAAAGGAAAGGGAGATAAGAGGGGAAAAAAGAGAAAAAAAGATAGAAAAGGGGAAGATATAGGCACACAGAGGGGAAAGAAGAGGAGCTGGACGGGGAGGCCGCGTGGGCCCCAGCAGCTCACACGTCGAGCTCCCCTCGAGCCAGGGCAGCAGCCTCGCGTGGGGCAGCGCAGGCTGACAGCGCCGCCCCCTCCCGAAACCGGGGTCCCTCTCCCGGACCGTATTCCCCGTCCCGGCCTGCGCAGTGACAGCCCGCGGCTGCCGCGGG